GAAGTATGAAGTAGATGGATCTTTGTGTGCAGAATATACACCAAGCGATACAGGCTCGGTCCCAGTTGGCCGAGAAAGGTTCCCAGGGATTTTCTACCATGATTTCCCCTTGTCAGTGGTGCAGGATAGAGAGCGTGGCTAGGAAAGGTGTCTGGTCGTTCACGAACCGAGGTCCCTTGCACACTGATGTACACATAATCATTGACAGTTGGGATCCGAATTAATAGTAGGTCGTAGCGCCGCCGCCTGGGTCAAATCTGTTTCACATAGGGATTCCGAAGGCCTTCTTCTTATACCTCTTTGTAAGATGACTGACCTTTATAAAGTTCATGCATTCATTTGTCGATAGCGTGTTCAATGTTTACACAAAATATGAACTGGTCCGGGCAGAATGGTGCCTTTTAATCATTTTAATACTCATTTACACTAAATATAAAATATTTTTTATCCAGATATACTTCAGATACCTTTATTTTTTTTTCTAATCTAATACTTAATTTGCAGATGGAAAAAAGTTAATATCACGAGGTCTTTAAGCCGCCTCGATGTCATCTCTCTCAGTGATTGTAGCGCATAGCGAATATTCATTTCTGATCAGTGTAATTCTTTACAACTGAAAAATGGAATACACACTGGAAAATCCTAGGGAACCTTTATCGGAAAAACACTAGGATCGATCCAAGGACATCTTTGTTAGCGAGCCAGCGCTCTAACTACTGAGCCACCTCATTTTCATAGACTCATGATTAATATGATCGTTAAACGTTACATTACAACAGGCGTTACCATCAGGTATAATCTGGGTTTGAAACGGCTGGTATGTTAGCACATTGAACATCGAAGCATTGGGTGGACGTTCACATCTGTGTGTATAACATAACTTTATTTCGTTACCTTTTTGAAATGTTATCATAGACAATTGTTCCTCTGTACAAAATGTGTTGGTTTTCACAGGACTCCGGATGTACCAGGTATTGCATTAAATCAAGTTTATTCGATAAAAAAGGTCGGAATCTTAAAGATGCATTATTCGAGCGCTAAATCTGCCCATTACAGGTCTTTCTTTAGGCCTTACATTTTATATAAATTATCTATTAGACATGTATTAACTTGCCAAGATGATAATCAAATCTAGATGCCATCGGATGCTCTAGATTTTCAACAGATTGGCAGTTAAGGATTTAATTTAAAAATGGATAATCGAGACTTTGTTTATTATCGTAACAACGGTAGCAATGGAAGACTACATTGTTCTTCCAACAACGAGAACTGGGCTCACAATGAAGTAATTTGACTGAAATGTTCAACACATTCCCCTTTCATTATCTATGTTTTAATTATTATAGCGAGAACTGTCAAATCTTTATCATAATCTTACATAATGCATCTTTAAGTGCATCTGCCTACACCTGGGAAAAATGACATACTGTAAATACCAACACAGTTTTGCCGTCCAAAATTTTAATTTGTTGGATTTTGAATCCTTTAAGATTGTGTGAAAGTTAAATCGTAGTGGAAGGAAACCTGAGAAAACCCACGAGGTTGGACAGGCGACCCTACACCTTGACTCAATGACAGACCTTATGATCCAAATGCTTAGCAGTCCAAACATAGTTAAATTCCGTTCAGTATTTAGGGGTCTTTCGCAGTGGAAGAAAACCTGGAAAAACCCACGAGGTTGGACAGGCGACCCTACACCTTGTCACCTACAAGCCGGCAATCGAAACCATGTCACTTGCCTCAATGACAGACCTTATGATCCAACCCTTCACCCCCCCCCCCCCCCCACAACCTCTCCGACAAATAGAAATGACGACCAGCGGCCATAATTTAATACTCACTGCAGATAGATAATGAAGTTGCAATTCTTCCTCTTTGACCAAATGCTGGTATACAGTCACTTAGAGAATGACAAGACTCCCTTTTCTCCTTTTCAGTCATTGCGCACTTTTCTTGAAATGCTCTTATAGCTAAAAACGATCTTTTTCGCAATCTGGAATTTTTTGGAACTTTGGGAGCCTTCATGAAACTTTCGTCAAAACTTGAATCACTAAGCCGGATGTCCGATGATCGTCTTCTCTGGCTCAATCGCCTCATGTTTCCGGATGCTCTGGAACGATGATACATGTCGCACCAACTGTTGTATACGCCTGTCGAGTTACGTCGGACTTCTTCATGGATTTCTTGTACATCCTTGTGTTCGTCTTTGAAATCGGGGCTGTCGTCTTTTTCATTAGAATCTTCGTGTGCTTCCTGATTACATTTAAAGCTTTTTAAGGTGTTATTTGAAGCCGTTCTGTGAAATGCATCCAGCTCTGATGACAAGGTATTCTGTGAGTCTGTATGTGCAATTTTACTACGTGACCTAATTGATGCATTTTCGTCTACATTAGGATGTATCACTGACACAGGGCGCGACTTGGTTGTATCTGAAATAAATGCATGTAATGAACTTGGTTAGAAATAAATTTGTATTAAAGGAACTAAACCTTTAACTCAATCCGTTATCTTCGACATGTAACAACACGCATTAGAGTTCAATGTTGGATAATTCATTTCAGTCAATATTGATGTTGTTATCATGCCCCCCTCGTTGCTCTGAGCTAGTTACGGCCCTGGGCACTGTTTCACGAAATTTTAACTAAAGATAAAATACAAATTTTAGTAGATACTTCAATTTTGATTGGCTAAGCACTATAAAATCAATCTAACATTATCCAATCAAATTACTAAAATTTGGATTTTATCTTAGTTAAAATTTCAAAGGATAGAGATTTATCTCTTAAACTATTTTTCATAAATTATACCGCCTGCTTAACATTAGAAATGATTGTAATATTTCTAACGCAAAAACATAAATCAAATTATTAATATTAATACTATATTGCTTTGATATATTTATACGTAATTGGTTGCCCAACAATGTAGCTCCAGTCAGAAAAACAGAAGCCACTATCTTCGACCTATACAGGGGCTAAGTGAGAGGGACGTAATGACGCGCTTTGCGTCATGGTTTTGAGTTTTTGCACCCCCTCGCGGTTTTCAAACGATATATTCATTAACATAATGCTCAACTAGTGTCAAACATAATCGTGGGTCAGATATACTACAAATCGACTTTAGCATGTTCCACACAGCCCCAATATTACTCGGCGGCACTGGGAGGGACCCTAACCCTTCCCCGCACACACATATAAATATTGTTTTAGGGGGCCCGGGCGGGATCTTGTTCCTCATGCAAAATGGTGGGTCATCATACACCTGGACTTTTAATGGCACACCATCTCAATTTACTTAATGCTTACCTATATTTCTTTCTTTATTAGAACCTGAATCTATAGATAAATTCCGAAACCATGACTCATATCCCGTTTCTACACTGCTTCCTTTGAATGATACACCCGAATTATTTCTTGTAGAATCTGAAAATAATTTTACATGGTGATCTCAATTATTTATTTTGAATTAGCTGATATATGTAGAGATTAGCCCAGGAAACAAGTGGTGTGCTCTCCTTCTTTCTGTTTTAAAGAAACTGTCGTTCAAGACCCCAAAAGGTCATAATAAACTCCCGAAGCGCTTCTCGATCAACAATTCGGCAAATATTGGTCATATTACAATTACTTTTATTTTAATTAAACTCACTATGCCATTGAGATCCACTTCGAGCATCGTCGTCATTAGCCCAGTCAGAGCAGAACAGTAGTACGTTCAACTCCATTTCATTTCATTTCCACTTCGAGCAGACTAATAGACACTCCAACTAATGGAATAAAAAAAAGAAAGGGGCACAGACACCTCAACCGAGTACACACGTGAAGGGAACCACGTTGGCTCAGTGTGTAAGACGTTGGTTCGCTAACCTGGAGGTGGCCGAGAAATTTCATCGGGATTTTCCGGCGTGGTTCTCCCCTTTGTTAGTAGTGCAGCCCAGGGGGCCTGGAAAGGGACAACGTATAGTCGTTCGGATAGGACGAAAAACCGAGGTTTCATGTAGACATTAGCGTCCACGATAAAGATCCCTTGACAGTTGGAATTCGATATAAGAGTGGGTCGTGGTGCCGCTGCCCGGGCAAAATTTCCCTCATAGCACCTTGTACGGCGTATGCCCGCCTCGGAGCAGAATAGTAGGACGTTAAACACCATTTCATTTCACACACGTAAACATTACGGGCACTTTAACTAATCGAGTACAAAGGTATCCAGAGAAGACACTTCCGTACATAGGTAACCAGACACGTGCACTTCAACTAAATTGGTACAAAGGAAGGACACTTCAGTTAATCGAATGCAAAGGTAACCAGATTCTGTTATTTTTGTGAACAAATGTGAAGGTTTCTGTCATAAACGATTAGATGTGAATTTGCTTTGTAGACGTTACAATCAAGTTTGTTAAGTTCATGAAGAAATGGGTATTCGATTTTATGCTCCATGACCCTTTTTGAAATTTAAAACTCAGTTGTCTTACCCATTGTCTGTGAACTATTCATATATACCTGAAAATATACAAATGATCATTGAAAGAAATAGTTTACGTTAAAAAGCAAAACATGATGTACAAATAAATGATTTGACAAATATCGGAAAAGCTTCGGGTTCGAGTGTATATATTAAAATATTTCTTGGCAGTCTTTATTTTCATTATTTTCATCCGATGAGTGTGAAAAAGTTATGGACCAGAACATGGCATGATTTTACGATTTGGGTTACTGGCGATACGAGCTGTGGTCCGATTCCTCTGTTTTTTACATGCATGTTAACACTTGACAATAACAGACACTGACGTACACGTAACAGAACCCATGACAGTACGGTTCAATTGAAGTAAAAATACACGTCGCTATCGGAACAATAGACTTGTTTTAGTGAAATTAGAGTACCGCCAATTCTTGGATGACACCATGTATGAGGCCCTACCATTCAGAAAAATACTCATCTTAAAGCTTATTAATTCACTCTCTTTTCCTCTAGAAAATCTAAAACCTAGCATCAAGATTTACCTGCATGAAGCGTACTGTAGCCAGCATAGTATCCGGATTACTCCTCTCCGTATTGATAATGTACGCATGTCCCGTAACCTTTATAAAATAAAACATGGTGCAAATTATCATAAAACGTATTCCAAGAAAACAGTTGCTCATTGACCACACCTATATACTCTACAATAGACTGGCATCAAATTCCATCGCTTATGATATGTCAAACCGAAAACTCTATGTATCGGTCAAAAGAAGAACAATAACGACAAGAACAACATGACGAGTAGTGCTTTGGGATCAGTTCCTGATCCAATGATACATTTCTGATATAATTAATTTAAAGGAACTCAATATTTTTCATAATATTCGAAATTAAAAACACGATTTAGAATTCAATATTGGTCAATTTCAATCAATATTGATGCTGGTATCTTGCCGTGAAAACATTGAATTTAAATCACTTTACATACATCCATATTACATCTTTAGAACCATTTTCGTCTATTTCAAGCTCCAAAAAATAGAGCCATACGCCCTTTAATATATTACACTGTACATAATTTAATTTGAATTATATAAGCTACTCTCAGATTTAGGTAGCCTATTTCAAATATGTAAACAAAATCATCGAACCTCTCTTCCGTCCAGAAAACCCTTCACGGTAACAACAGCTTTTAAAGAATCAGTCTCGTGCAGTGTACACAAAATGGCAAATGTGTCAGTTGAAATTTCCTCTGGCAAAGACTCTGGAACTAAAAATGTTAAACAAAAGTGGGAAATTTTATTTCAATAATTCGATTGCACGTAAGAGTGTTTATCAGTGGGAGAAAACAGCCTAGACCCGGAAAACAACACCGGGGTTGGGAAAGCGACCATACTCCTTGTAGCGTACGCTGCTTGGGATCGAATCTACGCCACTAGAATCAATGGCAGACCTTATTATTCAACGGACACACGTTAGATTAGAAACTCCCGCCCCTCCCCATCCCCCGACAACTATGAGAATCTGAAGCTCTAAAAAAAAGTACAGTCCTTTTTATTACCAAATCCACGCTATCCCCAATAAGTTATATTTGCGATTATCCACACAGCTCAATATTTTAACCTGAAACTTCCAGACAACCTATATGGATTATATATTTTTTTTACAATTTGACAACTTATATCGAAAGTATGCTGAGATATCTGAGAGGCCACAACAAAAAGTTTACCTTGTTGTTTAACTTTAAGTGGACCCCAATCTATGAAGGGTTTTTCTAATACAGTAGCATTGGGCAATGATATCACCAACATAATTGACTGTGGGCCCAAAGCTTGTTCTTGATCATTAAGGAACACCGGCAGTCCTATGTATGTCCAATGCACACCAATAGAAGTGGCTGACGGATTTCTGATCTGAAATCAATTAACAAATAGCCAAAATAAAAATACTGATTAACTATTGTGGCTTTCCTCTCGGCGGCTCGCAACGGTTAGATAATGGTAAGCCGTAAATGGAGATATTAGGCTTATAATTATTTATAACATTAATACATTACCTGTTTGGAATTCGTATTATCACACGTGTGTTGATTGATTCCAGTTCCGCGGGACGCTCTATTTGACCCGTGAAAAACATTGGTACCTGCAAAAATATTTAAGTGTTCGGTAAAATCTTTTGATGGGGCTCTTTTTAATCCGACGGTATGCAAGTCGGTGATTATCAAACGTAAATGTTAAATACGTAATTTGAGCACATTTTAGCATGAAGCAAACCGTAAAAAATTCGATATTGTTCCAAAATACATATGTCAATAAGCCGGTTTAATTAATTGCAATACATTAAAACTACCCATCAATATTCAACAGTACACCAATACAGCTCAAGCACACCAAAATATAGAGCCAAAGCCATTCAACAGCGATATAAATGAAATGAAATGGGGTTTAACGTCCTACTGTTCTGCTCCGACTGGGCTAATGAAGACGGGCATACACCATCCATGAGCTATAAGGTCAATTTTGCGCGGACAGCGCCCTACGGCGTACAATTAAATCGAATTCCAACTGCCACGGGATCGTTTACGTGCACGCCAATGTGCACACGGGACCAACAGCGATATAAAAGCAAATGTAACAAAGGACCGAAAAATTCAAGATCAGTGAAAATTATGTCAGCTATGTGATCCTATGACAGGACAACTCTCTCGAAAATAATAAATGACAAGTGATATCAGGTGTTCTAGATATAGTTTATGAAGGCTCAATGGTCAAAGGAATTTTAAAGAAGACGAATCTGTGGAATTCCTAAAATTTACCCATCTTCAATGTTAATGGTCGTTCAGATGTAATGACGACAACATAAAATCACTAAGCTCTGTGAGTATAAGTAACAACCGAGTTAGATTCGGTAAGGCTGAGAATTTGACCAAATACATATAGCGTCAGAAAAGAGAGCATCTTTAAAATTTAAATGGGATAAAAAAAAAGATTCGATGACATCACTTGGTTTATTTTGTAATTTAATGCACCGGGTTAACGTGATTTAACTGCCTTTCTCCAAAATTTCAATTTTTAGTCGGCTAAAAGCTATTCATGATATCTTCATGCCATACTTAATCCGTGCTTTAGGCCACTTTGAAAGCCGTTAACCACCGATCTTTCTTATTTCTGTTTTATACTGAAATATTTTTATACGAAAGCAAATAGTATTACCTTTTGAAGAACTACACGAAATCCCCATCACTAGGTACTGGTGGTGGTGTTAGGTTAAGACATAGTTGATATTGGACACCGATCAATTAAAAACACACGCATGTAGAAATGTTTTGTTTATAAAAGCCGGTGTTGTAGAAGAGAGCGTAGGTTGTTTTTCGCGGTCTATACTTGTTACCTGGAAACCGTTTTAAAAAGTCAATATGTGATAATAATATTAAGAATACAGTGCAAAGCCAAAATTAGAATGCCAAAAAACATATTAACAACACATGTGCCATATTGGTCGCAAAGGAGGATGTCATAGACACGTATTTCCTGTTAAACTTGCAAGAGAACTCATTTGTAGGTGAAAGGTTCGTCTGATGTAGTTTGGAGATGGAGCGACTGAGAAATTTTATCGCCCCCATGTCCTTGTTTGAGGCACAATCTTGCCTTCGAAGTTACGGTATCCAATGGTGATGTTAAGGACCATTCATAGTATCCTTTTAAAGGCGTTAGTACAAAATGATGCTTGGTTGGATGGCCGAATGGTTAGCACGTGCGCGCTGTATTATTGATTCAACTGGCGTGGTTTCGATTCCCCTGTTGAACGTGACAAGGAGTAGGGTCGCGTGTGCAACCTTGTGGGTTTTCTCCGGGTCCTCCGGTTTCTTCCCAAAGACCCCCTACCATGTTTTATTTTATAAAAATTACGGGACACGTGTATATTACCAATACAAAGAGGGCTTAACGTCCGTTCGACACAAAGTAGGTCATTTTGAGATTAACGCCTGGGTGGAAACTTGAGAACCCGGAGAAAACCCACGTGGTTAGACGTGCTATTGATCAAAACAGAAGATGTGTTTAGAAAATAACTGCATTCACAATATAAACATCGCGTGTATAAACAAAAAGCTTAGTTTCCCAATCTGAACAGAACATGTATTTTTAAAAAAAAGAAGCTTAGTTTCCCAATCTAAACAGAACCTGTGTTTAGAAACTAGCTTCGTTCATAATCCAATAAAAACATCTGTTTAGAAAATATATAAATATAAAAACGTGGATATGCTCACATTTTATGTGGAGGTATATTTGATCCACTTTTTCTCCACATCATAAAACGTCCCCGACTTCAATTCATGGAATCATTTGCAAGCTTACGTTGTCTTCTAAAATGTGTTTTTAGCACTTTACGGGGGTTGTTAATTCGAAGAACAAAGCCGAAATTTCGAATCGTGTCAATTGAAATGGGGTTTAAAAAACATTTCCACAGACAAGTATTTATCGGGTGATTATTTCCAATAAAAGTATTGCAATTTTTGTAAATATGAAAGATACAGACACCCAAACTTACTGGATTCCCTGAAAAATACCCATGGAACGCGAACCTGAAATAAATGAGAGGGTGTCACTAATTGACAGTCTGATGATTCAGGGCTGTCTGCTCGAGTGACGTCAAATATTGCATGCGAAGATTGTCTGATCTCTCAGCGTTAGGGAGCGCTTAATGTATGTGTTAATAAACTTGACTTTGGAGACTTAAACGTACAGTAGTCTTGGGTAAAGAAAAACGCGGAAAAAGACGTGGGCATGGGATAATCCGAGAATTTACCCAGGTGTCGATATTTATGCTAAATGGACAGCGATTAAAGACAAGATCGTCTTTTATCTATACTAATATTTGTGACTGTCGTTTGTCTGTTTGTCTGTCTGTTCGGGAGTGGCGTCTACACTAGGTCTGCCCCGAGTCTGAAATTTGGGGTATAGGGGTAGCTCGGACCGGGGAGTAACATAGGCCGGGTGGCGTTAGTCTACCACTTAGGGTTTCGGAGTTATGACCCCGAGCGAAGCGGGGTTGGTGGCTACACTAGGTCTGCCCCGAGTCTGAAATTTGGGGTATAGGGGTAGCTCCGACCGGGGAGTAACATAGGATAGGCCAGGTGGCGTTAGTCTACCACTTCCGGTTTCGGAGTTATGACCCCGAGCGAAGCCGGGTATCCTGCTAGTATGCAATAAATTCTCGTCCGGCTTGGCGCCCATTGCTAGCTTCCGCGACCGTTCTCTCAAGTGAGACAAACATCACTTCTTTAAATAGATTTTTTATAGATTTGGTAAACAAACACAATACAACGTTGTCGCTCTAAGAGGGGCGTTTGCTAATTGGCTCTAATAGGCTTCATTATCTCTGTGTCGGAAACGACGTACATTTATAATATTTAGGAATAAAGCTGTAAATTATGTAAATTGTCTTCTATTTCTATGGTGAGAATAACTATGGTGTGGTTGGGTGTGTTTGGGGTGAGGTGAGAAATTTGAATATTAAGAGACCATCTTTGCGTATAAATGAAAAATGTGTACCGAAGAATGTCCTC